TTACCATGACTCGAATAAAAAATGACCTTTGAGTTCCCTTTGAGCATTATTCCAACGTTTTAACGAGAAATGCTCCTTTAACTTGATTCGAACTTGTGACCTTAAACATTCATTTGTGAATCTCGATTTTCAATGAAATAAACCCTTTTTGATGCATTGTTCTAGTTCTAGGTAAACGAATTTTTTTTTCTTTGTATGCTCAATGGTCTAGGGTATCCGTGAGTGATGATTGGTAAATATTTCTTCAGGTGCTCAAGAGGGATTCGAAAGGAATTTTGGCAAGGACCACTAAAGGACTTATTTGCTCACTTGCTTTTGAATTGGTGAGTGTCGAGTGCATAACTTGTTGTTTGATACTTGAATTGTTTCTTGTTAATTAAGTGATTTGGACTTGTCGAGACAAGTGTGTACTTTATTGCACTCGTTCTCTTTTACTTGCTTTAATAATTGACTTGCTCAAACTTGAAAATTATACTTGTGTGTGACTCGACGTCTATTGGAGAGCCATCTCATCGACTTATACTCATGCTCGTGTGGACGCCCAAAATTCCATTGGGTAACCTTGTAACTCGAGCGGGCATGGGCTTGGTCGAGAAGTTTGGTGAACCATGGAATATTATAAAGATTGATCTTTTGAAATCTTGCTTGGCATACTCGTGTAGTATCGCCCTTTCGTGCGTATTTGGTTACGGATCCAAGAGGGTGAAATGATGGATGGAGGTAGTAAGTGGGGTTTCTATGGACTTGATACCTACCCAGTTGGCGGAGTGTTATCACGTGGAGGTATTGGATCGAGTCTTGGCAAAGCAAGTGGAAATCAGCTCCCGAGAGCTCCCGTATCCTTATTGAGTGTGTTTTATTGTTATTTGTGAATTACCCGAACTTTCTAGCTTTATTTCTTGAACTACGTATTTGCATGTTTTTCTTGGCCTCACTGAATGCTAGCTCACCCCATTAGTTTGTTTTCCTTAACAGAAACTCGGAATAGAAAGAATTTGGGAAAGCCGTACTGATTACTTCTAATTAGAATTTTGGATGTAAATGGTTTAGTCGATGTTGGATGTTTGTAATTTTAGGGGAATTTTAATGTACCTTTGGAAACTTGTGATATAAGATTTGAATGTTTATTTAAGGAAGACACCTTTATTTGTATCTATTTTTATTATTGGTTGTTTATTTTTAAGTTTAAATTTGACTTGTATCGAGTCCTGGCGAGAGTTAGGCAGGCGTTCTGTGGATACCCTTGGGTTTACTCTAGGGAGAAGTGGGGGCGTCACAAAAAATGGATCGGCTGGAGTTATCACAAACACCATCCAAGGGGCACTGAGACAAGAGTTAAGTTGGAGAATCCGAAAGCTCCAATAACGAAGGGCATGAGGACCCGATTTTTTCTTACTTTTATTTTATTTCACTGGCCTATTTAATTATTTAATTATCTATTTTCTCCAATTAATTTATTTCATCCATTTTAATTTTATTTGCATGGGATAATGTCTCATTTATATTTCTAAAACGTTTCGTTAGCAAATTTAATTTTTCTGCGACTCGTTTAGCGAGAAATAGTGAATGCACGTTTTTCAAGGTAAATTCGATCCGAGAGTACATTAGTCTTGGAGAACTAAGGATGATTAATAGTAGACTAATAAAAGTTAATTGAGGGATTAGATGTGAGTGAGTTAAGTTAAGCTCAATTAGTAGCATTAATTGCTCACCAATCGAATGTTGACTTTTGTGCACCAAGACACCTTTATGTCAAATCCTTCTTACACAACCTCACATCACCACCTATCCCTTTTCTCTTCCCTCTTGGCCGAACCTCCCTTGGTCATTTCTTCTTCATTCTTGCTCCCCAAGTTCTTCTTACTCTTCCATCCAAAATCACCAAGAGAACTTGCAACTCCTTGCTAGCTTAACTTGGAACTTGAGAACATCTTGAAGAGAAGAGAGGGCCAGCTATTTGGGGCTGTTTTGGGGAAGTTTCTCGCTCCAAAAATCTAGGGTTTTCTCTTGTGTTTGGAAGGTATACACATCTCTCACCAAAACTCTTGCTTTCTTGTTTCATTTCTTGGCTTTAAAGCTTGTAGTTTCCTTGTTGTTGTTGTTGGTTGGATTTGGTTGGTTGAAGTGGGCTCTATGAACTCCCACCTTGGTTAATGAGGGCTGTCATGATGTTTATCTGTGTGTTAGTGTGTTTGTGATGAGTTTCAATGGAAGGAACTAGAAGAGGAAAATGAAAGAGAGAAACCGAGAGGAGAGGGAGAAGTGCTGGACGAAATTTTTAGTTTTTGTTACTCTATTTTGATGACATATTTTCGTGACTTTCTTGGTCCATTTGAGAGCTGATATGTTGAGTTTTAAGTAGACAAATTTCTAGCCAAAAACTCTTTGATTTGGTGCTTCAAAAATGCATGAAAAGATTGGCCAAAAATCTGGAAATTTTCCTTTCCCTACTCACCGAATGGTCAAATCTGTTTTGGGGTGTTTTGTTCCAAACATTTTGGTGCTATTAAACCATCAATTATTCAATAAATGTTTCTGGAACCTTGGTTTCAAAAATGGAGCAAATTGGGGCTGATTTCGTTGGACAAAACTTTTGGAAGAGAAAGAATGATAGGGTTGGCAGATTGGTTTTGAAGAATTTCACAAACTTTAGTCATTTTGTTAACTGCCTTCCCGTGCTATTTTTTACCTAAATTTTTGTAGGGAAGTATTGTATATATGGAAGTTTAAGTGTACCAAATTTGGTATAATTTCAATACCATTTTGATGCCCAAATGATGCCCCAAAGATTGCTCTTCAAAACTGGGAAACTGTATCTTGTGGCTCAATTTCGTCTCACTTGTGAAAGGAGTTTGAAAATGATGTCTTCTGATGATTTGAAGAATTTTGAATCTAGTTTATAAATCCATAAACCATTCCCAATTTGGACTTGTGTAGAGTTAGATATGGTCTGATTTCAAAACTGCGTCAAAGCTGGAAACTGGAAAATTGTTGAACAGGCTATGAAATCCAGCCATCTTCAAACTGATGTATCTTGTTATTCAAAAATCCGAATTTAGTCCCACTTGTTATGTTTGAAACTTTACTTGAAACTTTCACTGTGTTATAAAATTCAGAGGTTAATTCAGTGACTATGAATTTTACCGAATTTTCAAACTTGGCTGAAAAACAAAAACTGGTTCTGCCCTGTCTTCATGAAACAGTAATTTTGAGTTGAAATTCGAATGATTTCTAGTTGGAATCTGGGAAAAGTGTCTTCTGAAAAGTTTAGTACTTTGAATCTAGTTTCTAGCATATAAATTTTCCTATTATTGGACTTACCAAACTCAAGATATGATTTTCCAAGTATGGTCGCGCAAAGTTGAAATTTTCTGATTTCTTAAGAAATGAACTTTTAAGAACTTCCAACTTCCTTTTGAGATTGATGGTTCATTTTAAACTCGATTTCATGGATAATACAAGTTTCCCTTGTGACTTTAAATCATTATTTTTGAATCTCGATTTTTGATGAATTAAAACTTTTAAAGGCGTTGTTTAAGTTTTGAGCAAAAACATTTTCTCCCTTGAATGTTAAGTGATCCAGAGTATATGTAAGTGATGGTTGGTCACTATTTCTTCAAGTGCTCAAGAGGGTTTCGAAAGGGATCCCGGTGAGGACAATTGAAAGGCCTTATTTGCTCACTTACTTTTGAATTGGTGAGTGTCAAGTGCATGGATTGTTGTATCTACTTGATTGATCTTGCTTATATACGTAAACATGACTTGACGAGGCGAGTGTGTACTTTATCACACTCGCTCTCTTTTAATTGACTTGTTACTTAACTTACTTGAACTTGACTTGTATTGAACTTGAACTTGAATGTCGATTGGAGTGAACCTCGTCGACAAATTATACTTGTACTTGTGGGGATGCCCGAAACTCATTGGCTAACCTTACGACTCGAGCTGGCATGGGCTTGGTCGAGAAGCTTGGTGAACCATGAGAAAATTATAAAGTTTGATCTATTAAGATCTTGTTTGGGATACTCGAGTAGTATTTTCTTTCCTAGTTGACGTGCAGGCCCTGTAGGGGGTGTAACGGTGGACGGAAATTTGGTGAAAGTGGAGTCTACAGATTTGATACTTGCTCGATTGACGGAGAGTCAACGTGGGATATTTGGTTCAAGGCCTTGGCTAAACTGTATGGAGTTAGCTCTTAAGAGCTTCCGTATCCTTATTGATTGTGTTTTACTTTCCCTTGTGAATAACTTGAATTTGATGGCTATTTCTTTTGTATAAGCTTTATTGGTACTTGAACTTATCCATTTGCATGCTTTTCTTGGCCTCACTAAACGTTAGCTCATCCCCGTAGTTTGTTTTCTTTAACAGGGACTTGAAGTGGAAAGATTTTGGAGAAGCTGACTTGATTACCTTTTGATTAGAAATTGGATGTAAATGACTTTATTTTGGTACAATTATGGATGTAATTGAGTAGTTGGCTTATGGTGGTTGTATTTTGGGAAATTTGATGTATCTTTTGGAAACTTTGTGAAGTAAGACTTGAATGACTATAAGGAAGCGACTTTCCTATATATTGACTTTTATTAATGGTTGATTACCTTTAAATTTAAATTTGATTCGTATCGAGCCCTGGCGAGAGCTAGGCAGGCGGCCCGCCGATACCTTAGGGTTCGCTCTAAAGAGAAGTGGGGTCGTCACAAAGGGTCTGAATAGAGGCCGAGACTAAGACATCGAGAGAATAGTCAAGGAGGTGATCCTATTAAAGGGATGAAAATGAAGATTCCAACATTTCAAGGGAGGTCAGATCCCGAGACTTACCTCGAGTGGGAGCAAAAGATGGAAAATATATTCGAGTGCCACAACTATTGCAAGGAGCAAAAACCAAGCTCGTGGTAATCGAATTTACTAATTATGCGATTGTTTGGCGGAATTAGTTGTGCACTAGTAGGAGATGAGGTGGAGAACCTGCCATCACCACTTGGATTGAGCTCCGAGGCATCATGAGGAAGAGATTCATCTCGAGCTACTACTATAGAGACTTGTACCAAAAGTTGCAGACTTTAACACAAGGAGGTCATAGTGTCGAGGATTACTACAAGGAGATGGAGGCCACCATGCTGAGAGCTGATGTCGAAGAGGACCGTGAAGCCACCATAGCTTTGTTTCTCAACGGACTATGATCCGACATAGCTAAAAGACTTGAGTTGCAGACTTACATAGAGATTGGCAAAATGGTTGACAAGGCCATGAAGATTGAACAGAAACTCAAGAGGAGGGGTCAACCACAGTGATCAAGTTACACATACTCGACACCACCTTCCAGACCGAGCCAACCACGAAGATATTTTGCTGACTCCAAGCAACCAATCAAGCCATTTACTCCAAGGCTGAAGTCAAACCTATCTAAGGGAAGCACTAAAGCATAACCTAAGGTGTCTTAGGAGCCTTAAAAGGGGAGAAGTCGAGACACCAGATGTTTCAAGTGTCAGGGATGGGGACACATAGCTAGTCAGTGCCCTAACCAATGGGCAATAATCATGCTCCCCAGTGGTGAGATAGTGTCAGACAACAAATTTAGTATGAAGGAATGCTGCCACTCATGGATGAGGAAGAAGAATTGGGGGAAAAGTACCCCATTGATGAACAAGTCGGGTTAGGACTTGTTACCCGGAAAGCATTAACCGCCTAACTCAAGAAGGAGGATGCTCAGGGCGAGAACATCTTCTAGACGTAATGTCAAATCTAAGACAAAGTGTGTAGTTTGATAATCAATGGAGGTAGCTATACTAACGTGGCAAGTGTGTTGATGGTTGAAAAGTTGGAATTGGTGACCATGGATCACCCCCCGACCCTACAAGCTCTAATGGCTCAACAACAGCGAAGAGATTCATGTCTCCAAACAGGTACTTGTTTCGTTTAAGATGGGTAGATATGAGAATGAGATTCTATGTGATGTAGTATCTATGCACGCTTGTCATATCATACTTGGTAGACCCTGGCAATATAATAGGAAAATTTCCGTTAATGGGATTAGTAACAAGTACACCTTCACACAGATATAGGAAAGTTACATTAGTTCCTTTTACACCTAAGCAAGTACATGATGACCAACTTAGCTTGCAGAGAGAGTTTGAAATGGAAAGGGAGAGAAGAAAATTAGTGACTAAGGCTGAAGATAATGAGTCAAAAGATCGCAAGGGAAATTCGGTTGAGATAGGGAAATTAGGAAAGAAATTGAATTTTCTTGTGAAACTCAAAGTAGTAAGGTGAGCTCTAAATGCAAGGTAATGTTTATCATACTTTTAGTAAAGAGCTTTTATTGATTACTAATGAGTTAGACCCAACTTTGTCGAGAGAGGTAGTATTTCTTTTGTAGGAATTCGAGGATATTTTTCCTAATGAGATACCAAGTGGATTGCTATTTGTCCGAGGGATTGAACACCAGATTGACTTCATCCCTGGAGCAGCCATTCCTAACCAACTAGCCTACAAGAGAAACCCTTAAGAGACTAAGGAGTTTCAACGACAAGTCAATGCGTTGTTGACCAAAGGTTGGGCGGGGGAGAGTTTGAGTCCGTCTGTAGTACCGGTGATTCTAGTGCCAAAGAAAGACAAGCCATGAAGAATGTGCATCGATTGTCGCGCAGTTAATGCAATACGATAAAATAGTATCACCCTATTTTTAGGTTAGATGATATGTTAGATGAATTGCATGATGCAATTGTGTTCACTAAGATAGACTTGAAAAATGGATATCATCAGATTAGGATAAAGGAAGAAGATGAATGGAAAACTACACTCAAGATTAAGTATGAGTTGTATGCGTGGTTAGTTATGCTTTTTGGGTTAACTAATGCACCTAGTACTTTTATGCGCTTAATGAATCATGTGCTTAGACCATTCTTAGGAAATTTCATTGTAGTCTATTTTGATGATATACTTTTTTATAGTTGTAGTCTAGAGGAATACTTAGAGCATTTGAGATTCATTTTTGACGTACTTTGATGGGAGAAGCTATATGCTAATCTCAAGAAGTGCATCTTTTGCACTGATAGACTTGTTTTTCTAGGTTTGTAGTTAGTGCATAGGGTATATAGGTGGACAAAAGCAAGCTCCAAGCCATACAAGATTAGCCAACACCTATATCCATGACTGAAGTTTGAAACATCCATAGACTTGTGAGCTTCTATCGGCGATTCATAAAGGATTTCAACACCTTAGCCACCCCATTGATTGTAGTTGTCAAGAAGAATGAGAGATTTGTCTGGCGAGAAGCTCAATAATAGGCATTCGAAATCCTTAAGCACAAACTCGCATATGCACCTGTTTTAACTTAACCTAATTTTAATAAGACTTTTGAAATTGAGTGTGATGCCTTAGGTATTGGAGTGTGTTGTATTGAAGCAAGCAGGGAAGCTGATCGCCTACTTTAGTGAGAAGCTTGGTAGGGCAGCGCTCAACAACTCAACATATGACAAGGAGTTGTATGCTCTGATTCGAGCGTTAGAGATGTGGCAGCATTACTTGTGGCCCAAGGAGTTTGTGATTTACACGGACCACGAGCCTTTGAAGTACCTAAAGGCACAACACAAATTAAGCAAGAAGCATGTTCGATGGATTGCCTTCATTGAATCATTCCCTTATATTATCAAATATAAGTCTAGCAAGACAAATGTTGTTGCCAATGCACTATCATGCAGGTACACCCTACTCACCGCTTTAGATGCTAATATTATAGGATTTGAGTTTATTAACGACTTGTATCAGAATGACAATAACTTTGGGGTGATTTATGAGTCTTGTAAGGTATCTCATAGGAGTAAGTTCTTCATTTCTAATGTTGATAAGTTATGATTCCTATTTGCTCAATCTATGAATTCTTGTTAAGGGAATCACATGGTGTGGGACTAATGGGACATTATGGGGTATCTAAACGTATTCTATTTTGTAGGAACACTTCTACTGGCCATGTATGAAGTGGGATGTGGAGCGCTTCATTGACAAGTGTTATCACGTGCAAACAAGCCAAGTTTAAGGTACACCCACATGGTCTTGACACTCCTTTACCTATACCGAAGGAGCCATGGGTGGACCTGTCTATGAATTTTATATTAGGGTTACCTAGGTCTAGAAGAGGCAATGACTCTATCTATGTTATTGTAGATAGATTCTCCAAGATGGCACATTTTATTGCCTACCATAAAACTAATAGTACATCTCATACAACTAACCTGTTCTTTAGAGAGATAGTGAGATTGTATGGTGTTCCTAGATCTATAGTGTCTGATAGAGACGTGAAGTTCCTTAGTTATTTCTGGAAGACCTTGTGGTCTAAATTGGGAACTAAGCTATTGTTTTCAACAGCTAGTCACCCACAGACTGATGGTCAAACAGAGGTCATTAATAGGACAATCTCTACCTTGTTGTGTGGTATACTGCATAAGAATCTTAGGGCGTGGGAAGAGTGTTTACCTCACGTCAAGTTTGTATATAATAGAATGGTACATTCTGCTATACAATAGTTGCCATTCGAGGTAGTTTATGGTTTTAATCTACTGACACCTTTGGATTTAGTACCTTTACCTATTTCTGAACAAGTGAACTTAGATGGTAAGAAAAAGGTAGAGTATGTTTGCTAGTTTCATGAGAAGGTACGAGCTAATATCAAGAAGCGGACATTGTAGTATGCTACACAAGCCAATCAGGAGAGAAAGCGCGTGGTATTCGAACCAGGTAACTGGGTTTGGCTTCACCTTAGAAAGGAGCATTTTCCGATCTAGTGTCGCAACAAGTTGCTACCACGCAGGGATGGATCTTTCCAAGTATTCAAGCTCATCAATGATAATGCCTACAAACTTGAGCTACCAAGTGAATACGGAGTTAGTGCCACCTTTAATGTATCTAACTTGAATCCTTTTCTTGCAGCGATGAAGTCGATTTAAGGGCAAATCCTTTTCAAGAGCAGGAGACTGATGGAGTATCCAAGGCTATCTAGATCGATCCGAGCACTCAAGTTGGGTCCATGGTAGTCCCAATGGGCCCAATGACATAAGCTCGAGCCAAGCGCTTTAACGAGTCACTGCGAGCATGGTTTGAATTGTCCAGGAATCAGTTGGAGCGCCAAGCATAGAGTCACTACAAGTCTTGTTACTTTGCTCCAAGCCATTGTTGAAGATGCTTGAATTAGTTGCTAAATAATATAGTCCAACCTTAAGCTTGGGTCAGTGTTTCTTTGTTAGGGTTTTGGGATGCGTGTTAAGGTCCAGTTAATTGTGTCATTTCTTAAGCCCATGTTTATGCTTTCTTGTGTCAAGACACATACAACATTGGTCTTCATTCGTTAATGGTAGAATATGATTATTTCACAAAATTTTCCCAGAGAGTTTGCTCTCTTGGCTCTACAAGCTATCCTTGTATATCTAGAATCGTCTAGTGTTCGTTCGGATTATCAATCAAGAATAACGTCCTTGATTGTGGTGGCTCCTAACAATTCCTAGGATTTGCTAATTCATAGGATTAAGGGTCAAGATAGTATTGAGGTTCCAATCATGGATATTAGAGGGGTCTAGAGTACGAAATTCTGCCAATTTCAAACCTATAACAATTGCCATCAATCTGAGGTTCATTGTCGCGAATTTCGTCATCAACGGGATTCATATCACACAATCAACCAAAGAGCAGTTTTGTCTGATTCTGATTATTTTTTATAATATGATTTTACAAAATCTAAAGTAAACGAGAACAAGGCCTAGCCTCCTTCATTCAAAATGTCTCACCATTACTAGAATAAGTATGTGGATTAAGTATACAATTTCTGACAAAATACTACATTTTTTGACAATAGCATATGATAAACTTTTCTCTAGACCCGTGATCCATACAATTTGCGCGTTAATTTTAAAATCAAGAAATTGAAGTGTATGTCATCTATTATATAATCTAGCGACTAAGAAGATCTCATTCTAAAAATAGTTAACAAGACTAATACAACATGTTTTTTTAATTCTTAGATCCATAAGGAATTATTTTATTATAGCATGACATTGTGAAAGGAAAAGTCAAAAGGTTCATTTAAGAGTATGTACTGATTCAACCATGACAAGATCTTGTATTAACACATATGCACTAAATGTGTAGGGGTGTGCCAAGACAGTTCCGTTTTCTGTGATGTGGCAAAATGTTATTGGACAATTTGTGGTCGTACTTGCACGTGACAATTGCACGTGTTTGTGCAAAAAAAAATAATTTCCGAATGAGAATGTTGTTATTATATTTTTTAAAAGAATGCCACATTTTTTTATTTCTTATTCTTATTATAATAACTATTTGCCTTCACTTTCTTTGTATCCTATTGGACCGCTTTAGCATTTGTCTTTCGCCTTTTCCCAGATGTATCGGGACTTGATTGTGGTCATTGTAATAATTCAGTTCAGTTGACCATAAGGACAATTGTATTACAATTTTGTCCTCCCATCGCATTTTTCTTACCGATGACAAGAAATTGGTTTTGGTTTTACTGTTTTCTTCATCTTCTTCGTGCTCATGTCAAGAGGTAAAATTCTATTTACCCTTGGGTTGTATTTGTAAAAAGACATATTTTCATTACTGTTGACGGCTATTGAAAGGAGTTTCTTGATTTGACTATAGCACTTTCTTTGCTCTGTCGGACCCATCGCTGCCGGTAAAGCCATGCATTGTTGCCCGGATTTGCTGCTTATGCTAATGGTTAGTGATGTGTTTACTCTTTGCATTCCTTTTTTGTGTCATTGTTTATAGCACGACATCCTATCTTCTCTCTTACATGATTGTCTTTGGCAGTTGCTTTACTCAGTTCTTATTTTCTCTTTTATTGCTCTGTTCCTTCGAAGCCTCTTCTTGGTTTTGCTCTTCTTAATACAGATTGGTCAGGTGAGCTTTTTCTTTTACTGAACTATCTCATCTATAATGCTGTTTATTCCAATATGTTTTTTGGTTGGTCATTCGTGGACTAACTCAGCTTTACTTACTTTGTTTATGGGTGTTTTGTATTTTGCCGTTGCATTAAGGTAAGCCTATTTTAAATTTCCTGTCTTCTTTGATTCTTTATTCTACCTTTCATTTATCCATTATTTGTTCTTATTTGTGTTTTGCCCTTTTCCCCTGTTTTCCCTTTACATTTTGCATGCAGCTTTCTTCGTCTATGGTTGCTGTAAGGAACTTTCTTTCTTTGTCATCTTCTCTTACATATCTGCAGCTTGTATTGTTTCAGGTTAGCTGATCATTCTCTCTCTTTTTCATAGCTTTTTGTTCTACCAGTTTTTTGTTTCTTTGCCATCTTCTATTATATACTCTGCAACCTTTTTTTTTTCTGTAGGTTACATGTTCGTTCTTTTTTCCCCCGTTTTACTTTTTGTTCTGGCAGTTTTTGTTTCTTCTTAAACTCCTGGAAAAGGATATGAGTTTGTCCGAGAATTGTTCCACAGTTCTTATTCATATCGTTCGTCGACTGACTTCACAGGAAGTAAAGTAAGTTTGATTCTCAATTTTTGAAATTGACAAGCTTTTAATTAATATTTGGCGCTCTTCTCTGTTAACTTCAAAATTATTTCATTCTTTTGGGAGTTTTTGTGACGTGAAAAGCTAAGTGCACGCTTATTTCTAACATGTTTGCAAAATGATTGCTGAATTTTGGGGAATTTGGAGTTTTAATTGAAAAAAAGCTTCGAAATTGATGGAAATTCTAGAGTTATGCAATCGATAATATGGTAAGGAAAACTCATGTATATGCTCTTAATAGCTCAACTAAATAATTAAAACTCCATGTTTTAAAAGAATTTGGCTTAAAAGAACAGTCTTTCTGTAAAATATGGTAATACATTTTATAAAAAGTTTGTTTTTGTTGATTTTTTTTAAACAAAAGGGACAAATTTTATGTGCTATAAGGTAATTTTGGATTTTGAAAGTTCGATCTCAGGCAAATGAAGTAACTCCTAGACATTAAAATTGTGCTTCTAACATTAGCAACGAGCTGCTTTCTTTGTAAACTAATTAAACCTTTTTCACCACGTCAAGGCTGGAAAGCTTTGGATGTATGAAGTCTTATGATTTGTTTGAATTCAAAGTTTGAAAATTGTTCTGAGCTTACCTAAACTACTAAGTGATGTTATTATATTTATTTGCTTTTTTTTTTTCAATCAGCAAATACGGGTCTCCAAATTTGCCAGACCAGCGTAGCATTGAGCTGAGAGATGCTACTCCAAAGAAGAAGAAGCAATGTCATTGCAAAAACTCAAGATGCTTGAAGTTGTAAGTACAATTTGCCTCATTTTTAAGTTTTTTTTTTTTTGCATTGCAATTAGCATGTTTATCTTTTGCTTTTGCCACACAGTAGCAGCTTATACTTCAATCTTGTAATAAAGAGTACTTCAACTATATGAGAGATAAAGATGATGATTTGCTATTTTTTAGTATTACCTGCTACATGCAGCAGAATTTGGAGAAGTGGGGAAGCGTGTGTAGCTGCAATGGGGTAAGAACTTCTGCAATCGAGTTTTATAAGAGAGTCCCATGGGTCTTCTCTCATGCTCCATGTCCTTCAGTCTGAAGTGCTCAATTTTGGCATTATGCTTGAAATTGATAGACAGTGATTTATTACAAAATTCCGCAACTTACCTACTCCATTTTGTGTTCAGAGTAGTCTTTTAAGGTACAACTGGGGAGCCCTTATAATTTTCCCTTGGTACCCTGTATTTCATATGCATTATTATAATTAGCCAATTTATTATTATAGTTACTCATTAACTTTTTGTATCTGTAACATTATTCATAAACTATGTTATCCTTATTTATTAATGCTAATGAATTTCCTTTATTCTCTGTGGTTAATCAATAAACATGGTTTGATAAATAAAAATACTAAAAAAAAGGTAAAAATCAATTACAAATTGAACTTTACCTCCAATAACAATTTCCTTTTAACGAACATTTACCTTGTTATCCATCTTAGCTAGTTCACCTACTTCATATATAGCTATCTTTTGTTTTACCAAAAAAATTTACATTGAAATATGGTAGCATGCGTTTCTAAACCAAAAAATTTTCCACAATATATTTTACCATTATCCACCATTTCATTTGCAATTTATGAAATCATCACTTTCTACTTTATGGATCAAGCTTTAGATATAAACGGAATCAACATCAACAACTGACAAGCCATTTCTACTGCTTTTCCATTTATAACTTTTAATGCTTGCACCATTCTAACATTTTCAGCTATCATGTACACCACTCTCCTACATTTGTCCCTTTCTTACTTTTAATTTTCATTGTATGATTTCAGCCTATTTCACTTCCACACCCAACTCTCATCTTAATCATTCCATATTTATCTTAATCTAAACTTAACAGCCTATATAGTTCACATCCTTCTTCTTACTCTAACATCACACCAACTCTCAAATAACCAATTGCATTGATCCACCGCGCATGGCGCGGAGACCACCTCCTAGTATGTTCAAAAAGAGTACAGGTTACATTCTGCTGCTTCTGTCTACAGTTGTGTGAAGTATATCCTAGACCTTTTATATGTACTGATTCTACAGTTGTACTAGGTACAACTACTACATGAATATTATATATATCTAAGTCATCAACATCTTAAACTGGGAAAGCCATGCATGTGATTACCAAACTTTCTCTTTATTAAAGCAGATAGAGGACATTATCTTGAAAATATCCATGTTCTTGTGTCTGATCCCTTTTGTCCTGCTGAGTCATGCAAGTAAGAGTTAAGCCCAATATCAACCACCTTTAGCCCTACAAATAGAGTTCCAAATGAAAAATGCAGGCACCAATCAAGCAAAATCTCTCTGCAGACGAGGTTCATTGCAATTGCAGTTGCAGAGTGCAATACTAGGTAAAATCATGAAGAATCAACTCTCTAGTCAAGTGATCCAAAATTCAAGATGCTCAGCAGCATATTTACTTGATAAATCAAGAAAAAGATTATTGCAGAATAGTCATTCAGATGAATATCCCAAAGTTGAAAAAGGTAAGACATATTCTGTTCTTTCTGATTAAGGAACCATAGCAAATCCTATCAATATACATCATGAAGAATATAATTATCAACTAATATTATTGGATATATATATATATATATATATATGTAGGTGGAGTGGAGTCATTGATCAGTAGGAAATACAGATTCGGCATAAAAACAGACAATTTTGCAAAAGGCATCCGAGAGCATGGTAAGGATACATATTTAATTGACTTGGTGCCATACTGAAATCCTGGAGGGATTACTTCACATTCAGGGCTTGATTTTTCTGTTTACTGCTTTTTATTGGGATTGCGCATGAATATTTTGATTCATATTATTCTGCAATTACCTCAACATTTTCTTAAAACTTTGCAGTTAGATTGGCACCAAAGTTAACAGAAACGGTCAAGGGGAAGTTGAGCTTGGGGGCAAGAATTCTTCAATTAGGTGGAGTGGAGAAGGTGTTCAAGCAGCTTTTCAGCGTCACCGATAGTGAAAAATTGTCGAAGGCTTCTCAATGCTATTTATCAACAACATCAGGTCCAATTGCAGGTCTACTTTTCATTTCTACGAATAAAGTTGCTTTCTGCAGTGAAAGATCAATCAAAATTCTTTCTCCAACAGGAAAGCAACTCAGAATCTATTATAAGGTACTTCTTGCAGTCTGTTTATGATGATCTCAATGTATGTGGGATAATCTTCAGTAAAGTTACTAAGAAGACTTTTTCAATGTGCTTTGCAGGTTTCAATCCCGTTGAGAAACATAAAGAGAGCAAGTGCAAGTCAGAATTTGGAAATACCATCACAGAAGTATATGGAAGTAGTTACACAGGACAATTTTGAGTTCTGGTTCATGGGATTCTTAAATCTCCGAAAGACCTTAAAGTTTCTTCAGCAGGTGATAGCATCTCAAGCTCAGTGACTAACAAATGTTGGTGAAGCATCAACAAGCCTTTACCCTCTTTTTTCTCTTGAGGTGTATAGATTGTACATGGAAGACAGCCGTGATGATGAAAATCTACTCTGTTGATATTGTAATGCAGGGTTACCAATTATTATCAAAATTGTAATCCTTTTATAATTACTGAAGTTTTTAGAGCATGATATTTGTGATAAGTGTACTGCATGGAGCATCAATCACCTTACCTTTCTGTGAAGATTACAAGCAATATCATAAAATGGCTTTGCTCATACACGATTGATTGATGTCCTTGTGCAAATTTATGCTTCTGAGATACAATTGATGACAAAAAACCAGAACAAGTTAAGTAACTCTAAAGTTTAAAGTTATTTTCTTTGTTTGAAATTATATCAACTCTGTCAAATCAACCAATTCAACAAGAAACTGAGAGAACGGAAACCTTGAAATGCTTAATGTCTCCAAATGCAACTCCTTTTATGATCTGAGATTTCAGTGGTACCACATGTGGACAGTGTGTAGAGGAGAAAATTAATGGAGTTGTAACACGAGTTGAGAGAAGTTCAAGTTCTGAAGTATTGTTCAGCAATGTAGTGGTTAAAGATGATTGTACAGGGTGACTTCTGCTAGTTGAAAAACTTTAGTTTTACACAGTTACTGTTTCTGGGAAGCAGAATCAGACCATCTATTATCATAAAGCTGTCAAGCTAATTTTGTGTCCTTACTTGATGAAGCCACAATGTGATTATCTTCTTCGTTACACAACACAAGTTGTGGATAACAAAATCAGATGTTAGAGCTAGTCACGCTTGTCATATGTTAGAGTTTTTATGGCAAAAATTGGGATTTGAGGTCTATGACTACCCCTTCATATGAAGCTGATCACTAAAAGAAAGCTGCCTAAGCGATGCATATACATAAGTGGAACAATACCTAAACTAGAATTGCCCAATATGTTACAGAATAGTATCATTACTTTGGTTGCATGAGGTTTTGGCTTTCGTGTGGATGTTTCCGTTGCCTGCCTGAGTAAGCACTATCCAACATATGCCTGTTCACGTCAAACCTTAATACTAGTCGCTTTTTGATTTCATAGCTAACAAACCATTCAAGAAGAAAAAGGTATCATGGTTATGCTTCATAAGCCAATTTTGCACTGCAATCCCTCAAAATGAATCTTTTGCCCATGATTTAAGGTAAGTTGCATCAGAAACGGAAATTCCAGAACAGATGTTATAGTAAAGAAGCCAGGCAATATCTGTAGCAAGAAAAAAAGTCTCCCTGATATTCATTAAGATTGAATTGTCGAAAAGCTAATGAGGTGGGCAGATGTTTTTGTTTTCTAGACCAGGAAGCAAGCATGTTGTGATTGGAAAAAAGCTATACCCTGACAATTTTTAAGAAGCCTCTCTTTCTTGTTTTCAGCATACATGGTAATTTGTCAAAAGTTTTGCTCTCTGTAAGGTGCTTAGACTAATTATGTCACCAAAGTTGACGATCCATTTACAGTTTGAGACTCAGAATAAACATATCTTTCATTAGCTTATTCGAGGTTATTACACAGATCTCTGTTTTTCCATTCAATGTTTGCTGTAAAATGTATATCATTGAAGGACAAAGAATTCCCCCATCCAGATATTCAAACAACTCAATTTTGGTGAAACAAATTTTCTTGTGGAATTTATATACTTCAATTTTTGGTCTTCCAAAAACAAATTAGGATGAAACTCCGATTTCATTGGTTACCATTGTATTTCTTGTGTATCTAATTGATTTAGTTTGTAGTAATTCTTTAAAAAACTCTTACTTTATACAGATAGTGAGGAATTTGAATCCCACGGATTAGTTTTAGCAGGACTTGTGCTATTGTGATTCCACAAATGTCTTGATCTCAACATCCAGTTCACCAGAACAAACACTTCCTAGCTTTTTATCCATTTGCAGGAAACATGACATGATTGACGCAATCAAATAGTTTGAAACCAGATAAACAGTGTTTAACAGAGAATCTGGGAAGTATTCATGGATTCATTTTTTTGCTATGATGACTAAAAGCTGATCCCTAATAGAAAAGGGCAAGATCCAAAAACTGATTTTACTCCAAGTATAGTGCCAATAGAATAAGCATCCATTAAACAGAATCTCTTATTTATCTATTTTTTAAATCAGAATCTCTTATAAAAAAAAAACAAGTCCAATGGCATTGCCGAGTCCTGCACAGAACCATTAACAGACAAAATTCCTGAGCAAGTGATTAGAAACTCAATTAGTTTAGCAGCACACTGGTTTGTCAGGCTGAAGAAATAAGTAATACCTGGTACTGATCCAGATAAATGCATCCAAATTGGAAAAGTATGTTGTCAATGCCTTCTTTCTCGTTAATCCAGGATTAACACATAATACCTTGTTCTCTAAATTGTTAGTAATTGATTTTCTTGCAATTGCTGTTTTTTTATTCTAGTGGAGATTTGTGTATCAGAAACATAAGATTCAAGATCTTCAGAAACTGGAAGCTCATCATTTTGCAATTAGCATTACTTAAACTCAGCATAAACAGCAGAGAGAATGATATTTGATTACCGCTTTTAATTATTTCTCGTCCCAAGTGGGGCCTAATCGAAATACTAATACCTACCCTAAATACTTTGTCAGACTAGGAAGAATCCAAGTAGCTATACTATGAAGTAATGAGTAAAACAAGTACAAACAAAGATAATGTTGTCGCAGCCTATAAGTCTACTTTACGAGGCATATTCATATCATCCTTCTTATCTAAGTTTCACTTGACTGAATTTCAAAATGTTCTGATGTTGGCATTGCTTTTGGGAAACCAATCTGTTGAATGTATGATGTGGAATCGACGTGGTGATCATTTTTTGCAGAACAAAAAGTTATAGCAACGTATGGAGTGATCATATGTCGACCAATGCTACTGGCATATTCAACATTATTGACTTCCGATTCTTTCAGTTGGGATTCATTGTCCAGAGGTGAATAGACAGAGAAAGGTTGAGCACTGTAGTGATTGCTTTTTGCAATATTCTAGTTTATCTGCATTGCTGACCTACAGATCATATCGTTACATCTTAATCCTTTAAGTGGGGTATGAGGTTGTGACTTGCATGTGGAAGTTTTCATTGGTATACATTCAGCAGCAACTAACATGCATGTCCACAGGATTAGGAGCTTCTGCTGTAGCGTCGGAACGTGGGCCACCGTACTCTTTTGCCACGTTTGCCACTGGCTGCTTGGAAGAGCGCAGCCCCACCGTATGAACAGTGAAGTTGAAGTAAATACCACAGCCACTGGATAGCAAGAAAGCTTTAATAAGCCTCCCCTGTCATCCCTCCTCGCACCCCCCCCCCCCCCCCCAAAACCCCAAAAAAAAAATGTTATAAAACCCTGAACAATTTAACTTTCTGAGAAAGTGATCGAAGATTAGTAGCTCAGCAGCTAAGTTTTTAGACTAGTCGATAGACTAGTTATGCAACTAAATCTTTCCTAATTGGACAGTGCCAGGAAGTTAATCTCGTTAATCAGTATTAGAGTTTTCCATGCAATTATCATTAAATAACTAGAAACGAATCATTTATTTATTAGTGTAAGGTGTTGTACAATTTCTTTTTTTATTTTGAGTTTGTACAATTTCATGTCATCTTTAGGTCAAAATTTGTTTGATTAGAATACTTTTCTTAAGTCTCACTAATCCCAAATCCCTGTATTTATTGGCAGGCGATTTTAGAATACCTTTATTAGCCTAAAATCATTTGAATGCATATATTCTTTTTTCTTGTTGGATATTTTAATAAAAAAAATGTCACATGTTTATTTTGAATTCAAACACAATAAATTGCAAATTCTTTAATGAATTTTCAGCTACAAATTCAATCATTCAAAAGTGTAACTTATGTTTTTAAAATGATATTTATGTCTTGAATTGTGTAACCTATGTAATGATAAGGTTTATGAATTCATTTAATGAATTTTTACCATTATACAATGAAGCTAAACCTTTTCAATTTGTAGATGAAAATATGAGGTATTAATTCCTCTTAATGTTGATATTTTAATACTCCTAATTTCTCAATTTATAAATAGAGGTATCTATCAACCAAATCTTACACCTACTTTGCTATTTTCTAAACTATCTTCTACTTTTCTTCCCCTCACTACTATTGGAATTTATAAGGCAAGGAACGGTATTATGTGAGATTTCTATCTCACTCCAATTGTGTAGATTAGAGTAGACTACAGTGAGATAAACTGGGCTGTTGTATCTTGGAGGCAACGTACAGAGACCTACTACATTGGAGAATACTCTGTAGGGGCACAAATTGTATTAAAGAGAGCGACTTTGTCTGCGCCTCAACCCATGCCAAACTAACTTTTATGGTACAAATTATTTGCAACTTTTTATGCAATATTAAGGTATGAGATTTTTGTTAATTTCTTTGTTAAATTTAATTAGAAAAATTAATGTTTCTTATATAATTATTTTGGCCCAGAACCAACAATTTTAAGACAATCTTATGCTTCTATTGAACTGCTATACTTATAGGCATTGAATTAGTTATCAGCTAATTAAATAAATTTATATGTATCTTGTGTGATTGTGATGAGAGTTGATAACAATCAATTAAGTAATTGATTGATAAATTCCATCAATTTACCAACTGCAATGCATTTTGTTAGATGCTAAAATTGCATGAAATTGAAATTCAGAAAAATATTTCTTGTGTTCAATGCCATGTACTGGCATACTTAGCAAAGTCACTAGACTTGTATTTGACTACTTCCTTTGTTTTGATTGCCAATTTGATGGTATAAAGGAACAACATACCTGCCTTATAATAATATAGTTAAAAGGTTAAAATAGTTGGTGCACTTACTTGAACTCAAGTGTTATAAATATATACTCCGTGAAATGTCTATATAACATGTGTGACACCCCCACTTCTCCCAAGGCGAACCCAAGGGTATCCGCGGGACGCCTACCCAACTCTCGCCAGGACTCAAGATAATTCAATTCAAACTTAACGATACCTACCAAATAATACAAGTCTAAATGAAGAAAAGTCGCTTCCTTAACTGAATATCCAAATCTTACATTATGTTCTCAAAAGATACATCAAGTCCCAAAATACAACCATTAAAAGTCGACTAAACATTTACAACCAAGATTTCAATCAAAAGTATAACCTATTCGGCTTTTCCAAAATCTTCCCAACCAACCTGTTAAAGAAAACAAACTAATGGGATGAGCCAATACTCAGTGAGGCCAAGAAAC